GCACTCAGAGCCCTCTCTGTGGGCACACGCGCCGTTGCCCCAGTCCTAGGCCTTCAACTGGGTTTTATAAAACCTTTTAGCTTTAGGACTCCGCAGCTGTGTGCAAAAAAAAAAAAAAAAAAAAAAAAGGTTCAATCAATCAATTTCAACTTCTCACAGGAAAAAAAAAGATCTTGCAAAGTTGGAATTGATTGATTGAACTTTTTAGTCCCACCCAGTCTGCCGTTACCACAGCAGCCACGCCCAGCCAATGGGTCACACCCAGCCAATGGGCCACACCCACCCGGCACCCGACGATGCATAAGTGGGTTTTGGGTTGCAGTTTGGGCACTCGGTCTCTAAAAGGTTCGCCTTCACTGGAGTAGACAGTCACTTGTCTGAAATGGTATAGGTTCTTCTGTTCAAGCAGGGGGCTGGATTAGAAGACTTCCAAGGTCCCTTCCAGCTCTATTCTATTCTATTACAATTATGGGGTTAATAGCACTAGCTGTAATCATCATGTGAAATTATTAGTTGTAACATGTTATTAATCCTTGGCTAGAGAGCACAATTAATTATCCTGATAACAGAATTCCTCAGAGATATCTAATCATCTCAAAGTGAGATAAGCAGCAGATAAATCTAATAAAAATAGTAATAATAATAATTAATGCAGCAGAATATAAGAGAAAGAATTGGAGAAGTTAACAAAATACATAGATCTGCAAACAGAACTAGAAAGACTTTAGCAAAGAAAGCAAAGTTAGTACCAATAGGAATAGGCAATTGGACTGGGTGCATTCCTAAAACAACTGGAGCAGCAATTGAGCACCACTGGCACTGATAAATTCACCATCAGTCAAATGCAAAAGGCAGTTTTACTCAGAGCAGCTTACATCCTATAACAATATCTTTAACACCATCAAACATCCACATCTGCCTATCCCAGATCCTTAGGAAGCAGTCATAAGGTAGATAAAAATACCAAATCCGATCAGAACATCTGGCTGACTGTGCAACAAACCAGAATAATAATCAATACAACCTGCATTTGCATAGCCAGCTTGACAGCCTTCCTCTGCCTCACTCCAGTTTAAAACCTACACAGCCTAATTACTCTGTGCATCTGATGAAGTAAGCTGAAGTTCAGCAAAATTGTACTTTTTGCACAACACTGACTTTAATCACTGATATATGTGAGACTTTTATGACATTCTATTTAGCTTGAAGAAATCTTTTTGCAGTATCATAGCAGATTGTTAATACTCATGATTCAGCTGAAGTGCAGATAATTGGGACAGATTATTCCCAAAACCGATGCTTTAGCAAAGTAACTAGCAACTTCTCTCCCCCCCCCCCCAACATGAACTGGATGTTTGCCCCAGGGACACCATTTTTTTTTTACAGAAGCTCTTCTATCTGAGGCAGAGAAATGGAACGGAAATGTTGATTCTCTGTCTGATAACAGTGTTAACAGCTCAGTAGAATCACAAGGCTGTTTAGTAAGTAATTATGTCACAATGGACATTTAAATCTAAATCCAACTATTTACTTCTACTGTATAACAATAGAGATAGTCCTCAATTTATAACAGAGCCTATCCTAAGTCATGGCAACTGTAAGTCTATGACTTTTTGCAGTTTCTATTAAGCAAATGTAACAGACGTTAAGCAAATCCATGTATTTCTATGAGCGTTTTCGTCCCCAGAAACCAGCAAAAAAAAAAGTTGTACATCACAATCACTTGACTGTGAAATGCTGCAACTGCTCGTAAAGGTAAGCTGGTTGCTATGCTCAAAATCTGGTGACTGCAGAGGAACTTTAACTGGTCACTAAGCAACTGGTCATTAAACAAGAATTACCCATATCAAATAGCTAATAGCAATTGTTTTAAAGTACAGCAAATAGAGTAAAAGAGCTAACAGAAAATACATTCCATATCCCAATTTAAATCCTCCATTAGCCTAGCCATTCTGTCTCATGAAGCTGATGACTTTTAATGAAATTTGAGAAACACACTGGACCGTAAGATGGAGTAGAAGAGAATCTGCAAACTATCTGCGCAGTTACCAAAAAACAGAAGAAGGTGCTGGGGTTTTGTTTTATGTTTTTTAGAAAATCATCATAAAGCATGCGTTGTTGATGTGTTGTTGAGCAATTGAAGTTTACTCAAGGGATCACGGAGGGGGCCCAACCATTGACACTTCAAATCTGGGTCATAAATGTCCTTTCTAGGCTTGGTCATAACTTCAAATAGTCACTAAGCAACCAGTTGTAAGTCACGGATCATTTGTATTGCCTCTCCTCACTGTAGCACCTACTCCCATTAAACAAAACTCCATCACTACACAAAGATTACTCTAATTTGCAGCACTAATGAATGAAATCAACCATAATACATCTCAAGAGCTGCATTTTTAGAGCATAAAGGATTACAAAGGAGAAAACATGAGAAAAACCCCATCCTTTATGACATCTTTCCTGACTCCTTGCAATTATTGCATAATCATGTGAAATGTGATGATCATGTGTTAAATATGGAAAATATGTTAACCTTTTCACTTTAGGCCTCGGCCGCCATGTGCAAAAAAAAAAAGGTTCAATCAATCAATCAATCAATTTCAACTTCTTGCAGGAGGAAAAAAAAATCTTGCAAAGTTGGAATTGATTGATTGAACTTTTTAGTCCCACCCAGTCTGCCATTACCACTGCAGCCACGCCTACCCAATGGGCCACACCTATCCAATGGGCCATGCCCACCCAATGGGCCACATCCACTCAGCACTCTTTGATGCATAAGTGTGTTTTGGGTTGCAGTTTGGGCACTCAGTCTCTAAAAGGTTCACCATCACTGACATATATTAAGATCAGCCTGCGCTCAACTCTTGCCTGACACAAAAAGGAAATTAGCGTACTATAAGGAATCTCTATCATTATTTGTCATAACACAGGTAGATTTAACTTTGGGTAAATAGTGATTTTGACACCCTTTTACAATTATTCTGTCTTTCATTTTGCAACACCAAACAGATCACAAGCATTCACAACCTAGGAGAAAAAATAGCTTAAATATTTAATCGCTGCATTTAGTTTAATTAGTAAGAAAATTTCAGCAAAGCAAATTTGTTTTTATGGTTACTCAACAGTGTGGAAACTCCAATGCAGTCCTTCCTCCTCCTTTGGAGGAGACAGCTATAATGTTTTGTTCTTTTAAGTAAAAAATCCCCAACAACATTTGAAAACTAGTAACTTTTTAATATTAAACTCCATTATAGCTGCTTTGTCCTTTCCTGCTGAAAAGATAGGAAAAGTTGGACCTATAGCACCATCAAGTGGCAGACTTGCTGTTAGGTTGCATAGGAAGGATCTGTCTTTGTTGAATCACCTTCAATAAATAAGAATGAAATATTCTGCTGCAGCAAACATTGAAATAAAACCCAATCATTTGGCTGAGACTGGATTTAAAATCTACTTCTTAAAAAGGAAACTCCTTCAATCCAATCTCCACGACTGGGATACATTCCTCTTCAAAACAAAAAAATCCTTCCCTGGATTATGGATCCCTTCTTGATGCGTTGACAATGGATTTGATTCCTGGAGGAAAAGTTGGATTTGACTCTTTGTTTTCCTTTGCATTCCACTGACATTTTATCTACTGCAGTGTTCCTTGTACCTTCTGTCTTACCACTTAAATAAGCTACCATTGGAGACTTCACTCTGCTTCAGTCAGGAAAGACTGGTAGAAAGTATTTTTCTGAAGGTGAGAGTGAATGACCTGGAGTGATCCAAAGATAATTCTGAGTTGTAGTTCGTGGTGGTGTGTCACAAGATGTTAAGCTGCACTCTGCCCATACAGAGGGCTGTAATGGAACAACGCATTATAGAACACACTCTTCTACTTCCACAATACATTGTTTTGAATTGCCTGGAGGTAATTATGGAGTTAATATCACTAGCTCATTATCTGTAATTATTGCCTAAAGTTATTAGTTGTTACACATTTTTAATCCTTGGACAGAGAGAATGATTGATTATTCTGATCACAGAATTCTTCAGAGATAGCAATCACCCTGAAACTAGATGGGCAGAAAACAATTCTAATAAAATAATAATAATAATTAATACAGCAGAAGAGAAGAGAAAGAATTAGAGAAGTTATCAAAATACAAAGACCTGCAAGTAGAAATAGAATGAGTATGGCAATAGAAAGCAAAGGTAGTACCAATAGTAATAGGATATAGGACTGGGTACAATCCTAAAACAACTGGAGCACCAATTGAGCACCACTGGCATTGATACATTCACCATCAGTCAAATGCAAAAGGCAGCTTTACAGGGAACAGCTTGCATCCTGCCATAATACCACAGAAACATCCACATCCCCTTATCTCCAGAAGGATTCAGTAAGTGGATAAAAATGCCAAATCCAGTCTGAACATCTGGCTGACTATGCAATAAACCACAATAATTATTTGTTGATCCAAACTGCATTTGCGTAACAAATTCAATGGGTTTCCCCCCCACCCAGAAACTGGCCCCAAGGGCAAGAAACCTGCAAAAAAAAATGTTGTGCATCACAGTCATCTGACTGGAATGCTGCAACTGTTGGTAAAGGTAAATTGGTTAGCAGTGCTCAAAATTTGGTGACTGAAGGCAGGTATGAAGCTGTCAGAACTCCAGAACCAGATTGTACGTAGCTTGGGGGGAGGTAGATTTTAACTGGCCACCAATTGACTGGTCATTAAGCAAGGATTACCTGTATAAAACAGCTAATAGCAGGTTTTTTGTTTAATTACAGCAAATAGAGCAATGGAGCTAACAAAATATGCATTCCATATCGTCCCAATTAAACTCCTCCATTAGTTTCACCATTCTATCTCATGAAACTGACTTTTAATTAAATTTGAGAAACACACTGTACCACAGGGTGGAGTAAAAGAGAATCATACTGGTTTTCCTAGGGAGTAGGTGTGGCCTGTAGCTTTTAAAAACAGCTCCCACATGCTGTGATGTCTAGAAGCGTGATGCTGCTATCCAGCATGGCAGATCCTTTCCTGAGAAAACATTTCTGCTTTCTCACTCTCTTCCTCCTTGGCATGGAGGGGAGCAGTCCAGCTCATCTACAAACACAACCCCAAGCACCTGAAGACACTTTCCCTCCACTCTGGCATTTAGTGCCTGAAAACATTGAAGATTATCCCATCCGAAACCACAAGACTGTCATCAATGTCTGGAACTACTTAGAGAGATTGGGACTATATAAGATCTTGCTCAAATCTTCAGCTAAATATTTCAGTGGACTTGGACCTAATAATGTCAACAATATCTTATGGGGATTGCCATTACAGCATGGCTGGCAATACAGATCAGGTAGGAACAATTTCTTTTACTCTAATATTAGAGTTCATAAGACCAAAGTTAGGTTGATTCCAGACCACGACAAAGATAGTACTTTTCTATTTTGAACAAACTTTCCTTTTAAGCTGTGAGTTTGAAGGAAAGATACATATTATTTCAAACCATGAAGGAATACAATTCATTAGCCAAATGATAAGCTGGATTGACCAGTGTCTGAGAAATTACCACCTATTAGTTGTATGAACATTGAAACAAACAGTGTTTGTTTCTAATCAAATATATTAATATATGATCTAATATATAGTCTAACCAAATATATTAACAACAGAGAGACTTGATAGACAATTTAAATGGCAGAACTGCATGAATAAATAAGGCAATAACAACTACAAAGAGAAATGTTTTATTGTTTCCTAAGCTCAGGCAGTAATACTCACTTGATGGTTACTTGATTTCTTGTCTCACTTAATTAAAAACAATTTTTTTTTTTTAGGAGAACCGGTATGTTGCAAAGAAAACAGTAACTTCTATCATCTCTTCCTTTAGTTTCTCCAATGCTTTTGCTCAGTAAATGATACATAGAAATGATTAACCATTGACTTTCAGAACCATTAGTGTGGGCTAGGAATGGGAGGTCGTGTTTTGATCATGGAGTATTTCCAGATGATAGCAGTCTTGGATAAGTGATTACGTGTATTTTAAGAATCTTATCTGGTACTCTCTACGAATATTTTTAAGCCATCAAGGTTTCTTAGTTTCATTGTGGATTAAAAGATTTGGCATTTTCTGATATGCTGAAGGCAAATGTATTATAAACATCACATCTTAGATCAATAAAAAGGTTTTTTTTTCCAATGTACATCATTCAAAGATTATTCAAATGTTCATTCAATGTCATTCAAATGTTATTTAAATGCAGCTTACTTAAGAGACTGAAAAAAGCACAGTAAAAGTAGCTCTTCATTTGGAACCCTACAACCAGAATAACTGGGAGCCAGGTTCTCACTTTTAGCAAAAGTTAAAACTGTATTTCTTTCACTAACTATATAGTTTTCACATTCCAGCTCCTTGGTCTTAGCTTCTGTACCTAGTCAATGGGGCTTCGAAAACCCTGGCTTTCAGTTGGTGCTTCAAAATGCCAGATTGGTCTGCAGTAAGGCCTCTCTCATTTGCGATTTAATCATCGATTAAAGAGCTAACCTTGCATGTATTACTGAAAACTGGCTGGGACTGGAAGGGGAGGGTGGCCCTTTCAGAGAGATGCCCAGCTATGTGTTGGGTGTGGTATTAGATGAGACACTGGGGCAGGGCTGGAAGTGTGGTAATCATTATTTGGAAATATCTATGGGTTACCAAAAGTGAGATCCTGTTTGTTCAGTTGTGCTCTATATATTAAATCTCCCTACTTGGGCTCCTCAACTCCATTTCTGGATTGGCAGTGGAGTGTCCCAGACTTATGCTATTGAGGGACTTCAGTCTACCTTCTCTAGGACTTGGATCCGAGATGGTTGACGAGTTCCTGGCCAAATGATGGGCATGGGCCCTATCCTTTTCAGAGCAGGAGCAATATACTCTGAAACTGTGGAAGTTCTCAGGGTTTCCCTTCACATAGTCATATTATATCCTGATTTCCATATTATTTATTTATGAAAATTTATAGAACCACCCAGCTCACTCCCAATGACTCCGAGCTGCTTACAAGGATAAAGAAGCATCTAGAAACAATAAGAAAGCAATAACCCCTTTCACCTGGTTACAATAATCAAATGAACAACTTGATCAGTTTCATCTTGCCCTGGGGTCTTCAGACCATTGGCAAAACCTTGACTTCAATGTCTTGAAGAAGAATGTCAAAGTGAGGGCCAATCCTATCTCTACTGGGATGATGTTCCATAGGAAGGGAGCCACCACAGAGAAATAAACCATGATGCCATTATCCACTGCAGGGAGGCTGGACTCATTAGATCAGTCCTCTCCCCATTGGTATTGTCTAATGGCACCCAGATGGGTTTCAAAGATAGCTGGGGGCTATTCCTGCTAGTTTGCTGAACAATTCACCTGAAGCCTTGCTCACCATTTGGGATAGGGGAGTTTTAGATTGGATTATTCCAATGCAACCTCTACCCTCTTATGGATCTCATCACTCGCCATGATTCATGGAGAAGCTGAGAGAGATGAAAAGAGAGAAGGTATGTCTAGAGTATCTGCTGGAACTCAAGGAGGACAAACTTGACCAAACATGGGTTAGAGCTGCTCTTAAGGGTTACCAGGTGTCAATAAGGGTGGCAAAGCAGCAGTATTTTTCTATAATTATTGCATCCATGGACTGCCACTCCAGAGCCTTGTTTAGGATGATATGTGCTTTCTTGGTAGAGGGAACCTGGAGAATCTCTTGCATGGATGTGTGGAAGAATTTGTTTAGCATCTGTCAGATAAAGTTGCTTGAGCCACTTTGGAAGTTCAGAGGAGATGCTGGGAACTTCCAGCCTTTTTGGAAGTTCAGAGGAGATGCTGGGAAGGAGTTTTGCCTGGATTTCTGTTATCAGTTTGATAACAGAGAGCCAGGCTGTTAGTCCTGAGGAAGTGGACAGGATCCTTAGGATTGTGGACTCAGCCACCTGACGTTTAGTTCTATGCTTCTCCTGGCTTGTTAAAGTGGCCAGATGCAGTGTTGTGTGATTGGGTTCTAGTGGTGGTAAACCTTTCTTTCAATGGTGGTAGTATGGCAAACCTTTCTTTCAATGAGGGGGTTATATAGTTTACTCCTAAAGAAGCTATTGTTGGATCCCACTACGCAGCACAATTTTTATCCAGAATCTAACTTACCATTTCTTGGAAAGATAGTTGAGGAGGTGATTGTATGGAAGCTTCAGAGGACCTATAATGAAACAGATTACCTGGATCCCTTTCAGACAGGATTCAGACCTGGGTATGAGATGGAAGCAGCACTGGTCGCTAATATTTTATTAGTTTTCTAATTTTACAATTAAGTATTTAAAAAGCAATGTGGTGGTTGGGTTAATCAATAGTTCAATAACATGCATAAATCTTTAGTACAAATCTCAAGTTACAACATCAGATATTTCATCTCTTCTTCCCTTAATATCTACCATCTCATATCAAGCTAATACAGTTCTTATTATTATCAACTAAGTAAAAGCATCATTATTACATTTATCAATATTTTTAGCTTATACATACCTTAATTGTGTTTCCATTCAATCCTTATATACAATCAATGTCCTGTTATTGCTTTTTTTCCAAGCTATAATTTCCCATCAATATTCAAATTAATATTTGATATTTATAATTTCCAAGCTTTAAGTAACCAAAGTTTCCCTTATTTCAACTTCTTCTTTTCCCCCTTTTCATAACAAAATCTAATATTCTAAATACACATCTTATCCATTTGAGTATAGTCTTGTTCTGTTTTCTAAAAGTTATCTATTTTCCATAGTATTAAACCATCTAATTAATAATACAGTATCCCCTTCAATAAATCAAAACCATTATATGTATTGTATGGGTTAACCAATAAATCAATAATATTTGTAATTTTTTTCGTTTGGGTTTAATTTTTAAAAGTTCAAATACTCCCTCTCTTTTTCTGGTAATATCTTTTATCTCATATTAAGCAAACAGAATTCTTATTTTCAACTGATTTCCAAATATTTTAAATTAGTTGACCAAAATTCCCCCTATCTCAACTTCTCCCTTTTTCCCTTTTCATACCAAAGTCTATTAATCTTGTTACACATCTTACCTATTCAATTATAATGATGCTTTATTTTCTAAAAATTATCTATTTTCCACCATATTCAACCCTCTAATTAGTAATATTAATAAATCTAATAAATAATAAATTTATCTCTAATAAATCAAAGCCCTAATTTTCTTCAGCCTTATTCTGGCTTTTTTCCTTTGCTACCTAGCCTTCCATGTCAGTGCTTTTAAATCATCAAATAGCTCTCCCTCTATTATTATATATATTATTTGAAATAAAAAGACCATTTATTTGCAGTTTTTTTGAAGAATTAGCCTATTTGTATTTATTAGGTCGCCTCCCTATTACTCCAAGTTCCCATGATTGTCCTGATAAGTTTATCTTCCATTCAATCTGTTCTTCTTCCTTCTCTTCACATTTCTTCTGATTTATGTAAAAAGTCTTTTCCATTTTCAGTGTTGTCACTCCCTTTTCTGACTTTTCTGTTGGCTGGATTTGTTGATCAATTAAGTCCTCTGTCTTAGTGTTTGGTTGTTCCCCTTCTCCTGTTATTTTCTGCATTGTTAGTTCTTTGGTTGTAGTCAGGGCTTTTTTTGTCATAGAACGTGCAGAATGGAGTTCCGGCACCTTTTTTGGATGGAACCTTGTAGGGTAGGCAAGGCGGGTTGTATGACATGTGTGAATTCTGGCACCTTTTTTTTTTAACAAAAAAAGCACTGGTTGTAGTCAAGATCTGGGTTTGTATATCTAAGCTGGCATCTTGTTCTTTTATGTTGCATCTTATTTTGTCACAAGCTGAGAGAATGGTTTTGTGTATTGATTTCAACATGGAAAGGATTTTTTCCTGATCTTCATCCATATTCTCTTAATAGTGTATTAAGTTGAAGACATTAGAATCAGATGTTAAAAATAGCTCAAGCAGGCCAAATATGTTTCCCAGAAGTTCTCTTTACAGCTGAGTTTTTCACAGGTGGTATCTGTCAAGGTCAAAAACATTTTTTCTGGAGTCTGGGCTTCAAGCCAAATCTCTTTTAGGCAATAACAAGTTGTAATACCATACAAGATATCACCAATGCCATTTAAAGCTTTTTAAGTCCAAAGTTTTTATGATAGTTTTTCAAGTTTTATTTCTTTTTTTAGATTAAAACAAACATCTCCAGTAAGAATAGGAAAACTTTTCGTCCCCAAGTTTCAAAAGCATATAGAATAATTGTGTTTTAAACAGTTTATTATATACCACCAGAGACACATTTTTGTGAGACGGCTTTATAAATTTGATGAATAAATAAAAATAGTCAAGATAAAACAATTTGCTGACCCAGTACTATAATACTTATTTTTCTCTGTACAACACTAATGTTTCATTTTTTTTCCAGGCAGATTAGCAGATCCTTTTAATTCTACAGGGTGTGGCCATATGGATAGAGAAAGTCTGTGCATATCTGAATTCAGCTGGTGGGCTTGTAAGTATATTTTTTGTTGGGGAATGATTTATTTTTATACTGGATGGAGAAAGCTCCAATTGCACCATGATATGAATTCTTCAATTGTGTTGATGTCTTATAAAAGCGTCCAGATTTGCCAAGTACTAAAATTTCCACTATGGCTGGCTTAGGAATTCTGGAAGTTCACAAGACTTAAAGTTGCCAAGTCTGGAGACTCCTGCCTTACAAAATTGATCAATAAAATAATCAATAAAATCCTCCTACCACAAGCTTTCAGAGCTGAAATGACTGGGCATGGACAGATGGACTGTCAATGAAACATCTACTTACCACTTTTATGAAAGTATTCAATCAAAGAATAGAGCTGGAAGGGACCTCAGAGGTCTTCTAGTCCAACCCCTACTCAAAAAGGAGACCCTATACCATTTCAGACAGGTGGCTGTCCAGTCCTTTCTTTAAAAAAAACCCCAGTGATGAAGCACCTGCAATTTTTGAAAGCAAATTGTTCCACTGGTTGATTGTTCTCCCTCTTAGGAAGTTTCTCTTTAATTCCAAGTTGCTTCTCTCCTTGATTTGTTTCTATCCATCGTTTCTTGTCTTGCCTTCTGGTGCTTTGGAAAATAAATTGATCCTCTCTTCTTTGTGACAGTCCTTCAGATGCTGGAATACTGCTATCATGTCACCCGCAGTCTTTCTTTTCTCTAGACTATCCATACCCAATTCCTGCAACCTCTCATTTCTATACTTCAGCGCCTAAAGGCAGGATAAGAAGCAATGGATGGAAACTAATCAAGGAGAGAAGCAACCTAGAACTAAGGAGAAACTTCCTGACAGTTAGAACAATTAACCAGTGGAACAACCTGCCTCCAGAAGTGGTGAATGTTCCAACACTGGAAGTTTTTAAGAAGAGACTGGACAACCATTTGTCTGAAATGGTATAGGTTTTCCTGCCTGATCAGGGGGTTGGACTAGATGACCTCCAAGGTCCCTTCCAACTTTATTATTATTATTATTACTGCATCAGTTCTCATATTCTTCTGCAGGATTGTGTGGCCTCATAAATATTTACACATAGAATAACATTATAGAAGTACTTTCACTAGTAACTTTGTTATATGTTAGATTTCCTCTATGGAACATTTTCTCAAATACTGATGGAAATGAGAAAAGACAAAGGGTGATATATAAAGTTTCAAAATCAGGAAAAAAGAAACAAATTTTCAGTACAAATAAGATATTGCCAAAAATATCTAACATGACTGATTTTAAAATGTGTCTTATCTAATAGTTCCATGGGAATAGCCCAGAAGGTATTTCTTGTAGCAAGTAATTATCTCCAAGCAAGACTGATATAAAAAAAAGGAATTGCAATCATGTTTAATAATTAACACTGACTTGTGATATGAAACCTGATTAGTGATTAGTGTTCAATGACATTAGAGTTGTACACAAATATATTTCAAAACTAAAGATTTCTCAAAAAGCCATGTGAGATCCCAATCAAAATTTGATGACCTTTAAACATTCTATCAATTACAATTAATCAGATACTATGTTATGCAATTATTCTGATATCAGTTACACACATTTTTTTTAATTTGACTCATTTGGTTACCCAGAAAATCTGTGTAAAACAGGCCATACCACAATTTTGTGGGGGTGGTCCCCCAGCACTTGTTCAGTATTTAAACAAATTGGGACTTGGTGTAGGACCATACAGATTGTTCTTGTTTAGCTACTGCCTTATTTAGCGACCGTTCATAATTATGATGGTGATAAAAAGTCACTTTATGACCAGTCCTCAGATTTATGACCTTTGCAGGTCTGTAAAGCAAAGCAAAGCTGAAGTAAGAACATCAGCACAGTCACTTGTTTACTTGGCAACCCCTTTCACTTACTGACCAAGTTGCCCTTATTGTAGTAGCTAAATGAAGATTGCTTGCATTTTTTTCCCCCCATTAAACTTATTTTGATTAGTTTTTTTCCCCCAGCTTATTAAACCATGTTCACTACTTTTAATTGCCCTAGGTATGAATTACTACCTGGCAGCTATTCCCTTTCTTGGGGCACTGGATAGTGACTTCTTTGAAGAGCTACCAAATGAGGTAGAATTAATGCCACCAGATAAGCAAAGAGAACATTTCTGCCTCAGCACTGCTGAATGCAATACTCAGATACCAAAAGTCATGTCTGCCTGGAGGGATTTTTTCAAGGTATATCTGCTGATATTTTTTTAATGGATATCTTCTTATTATACACTTCTTCTTCCCTAAATCATCCATGCAAATACTGCACACAGCATTGGGGGGGGGGATTTCTAATTTTAGGAGGGGGAAGTTATGTTTTTCTTCATATTTGGTGCAAAGATAGATATTTGTAGATAATTTGAACTGACCTTTGAGTAATGTCCCAGGTTTTACAGTCTAACAGCCAGAGGAGGCCAAGACAAAGGAATAGCCTAGCTAGCCTAAGATAAAGTCTTTTGGAGTTGTTTGAGATATAATCTTGTGTATTTATCTGGGAGGAATTTGAGTCTGATAATCCTAATGAAATGGACAAGTCCTTGGAACTGTGGGTTCAACTATCTGTGTTTTAGATTTGTGTCATTCCTGATTGGTTAAAACTTCCCAAAAAGATAATGTGTGGTTAAGTCCATGAAGTGATTAATGCTTCCTTGAAGGCCCAGGACGATCTTAAGAAGCTGCACACAGTAGAATTGAACAGTTAATTTTGCAATCTCTGCTAGCTCCATCACTTTTTCCATCCATTCTTCATTGTGGAAATTGATGCTATCTTTCCATTTTTGCATATATAAAATGCTTGCTGCAGTCAACATACGTGAGAAGGTGGAAAGTTTGTTGAAGGGCCATGGTGTGGATATCACTTTCTTGTTTGTAATAACTGTGGCAACATATCCCAGGGGCAAAACTTTGTTGGATACACAATAAATGTGACTGTGTTGGCTATCCTCTGAAATTGAAGGAGAAGAGCCATGATGACCAGATAGTCTGTTGTAAATCCTTGAGGATGCCTAGAGTTTCAACTGTCGCTGGAGGATAGTGCCTGGGGACTAATCTGGTCATAAGAACTAGGTTGAATTTGTCCTGGTGACTCCTGAGGAAATGGACAGGGTTCTCTGTACTGTTAGCTTACCCACCTGTTTATGAAATCCTGTACCCTGGGTCACAAAAGCAGACAGTGAAGTGACCTGTGATTGGATCTATGCTGTGGTAGTAGTGACTTCCTTGATAGAGATGGTGGTGTTTCATAGGGTCAGGCCTGGTTAAAAATTGAATGGCAGACATCCAGGGAATTTCAAAGCAATAGGCTAGACTGAAAGGACAACTTACACACACACACACACACACACACACACACACACACACACACACACACACATCTTCATTTTCAAGAAAGTTTGAAGTAAGCAGGAACAGGATTATTGTATCTATAGATGGGTATGGTTGCATAATTTTTATGAATAACTAGTAGTTTTATTTGTCCCACCTACAGTATATCCACATCTCCTTATCTTTCTCTATATTTATTTTTAGTATCTCCTGTCTACTGCACCAAACTCTGAAACAGCTTCAAGTCCTCTTTTCTCAGAAGATGAAGCCCTGGGTTACATGTGGAAAGCTCATACTCTCTCTATTAGTTCTGCATTTCGGAAGTGTCAAAAAAGGTAAGAAGGAGAATATTTGTAGCTCAGGGCTAAAATGAGAGGTCCTTGATGCTCTCTGAGCTTGATTATTTTCAAGTGCCAGGGATGATGTTACCTAGTTTGGGTAATGAAACATTTGCAAGAAAACAACCAAGCTAAGAGAGCACCAAGGACCCTTTAAAGTTAGAAGTTTATCAGAAAAATTATGAGGAAGCTCTGATATGAGAAAACTTTCTTCTTAATCTGGTTTAGATCTTTCCTAAAATTCAGTGGTCATACCATAGCATCGATAATTCTGAACAGGCATGAGTGCCTCTGGATTGTGGTAGGATTATCTTATGTTCTGCCCATAATTTCTTCTATGATCCCTAACCAAAAAAACACCGTGGGTTGTTTTAGTTTTTTCACCTGGTTGGTGGCAAATAGAAATTATTGGTAGATGTAAGGCGTAAGATTTGCAAGATTCTTCTTTACAGCCATTCTGAATAAAAATGTTAGTTTTCTGTGGAATTGATTTCATTGTCTATCTAGTGAGGCTGACAGTAGATGACATACTATGAACAATTATTGATATCCATGGGACGATCTTTGTAGTCCACTGGGCATATTTATAGTTAGACACAATGAGTAATTATATCATCTGGTTGTTCACCATACTGTAGGAAGAAATTATCTTTGATTGGTTAGTATCATCATTGTGTTATCCCAAAGTATTGAGTTTGTCCCATGAGGTGCAAGTCAATTACAATTAAAAATATGTTAGCAACCTCTCTCTGATTTGGTTCAGTAACATTATAAATATTATTCAAATATTCACAACTTTATTTTCCCTACTTACATTTCAGTCTATCATACTTCAGTGGACCTGAAAGCAATTTTGGAGAGGCCTGGTCTACCACAGTTAATTTCCTTGCAGCCACACATTTTCCTACAAATTTTAATGTTACAAATAATTTCCAGACTGGATTTCCACCTCGAATACTTTTGGAAGGAGACAAAGTACCCTTCATTGATGATTTCACACTTCTGCAGAATAAAGTGATTTTTCTTCTTGAGAGTCTTCATACCACAAATAAAAATACAGGTAGGAATCTGAGACCAACATATGGTCCATATTTAATTACAGACATACAGAAGATACTTCCATGTGGCAATGTTTCCATTTCCTAATCCTACTAAAGCATTTTGAAGCCAATTCTCTAATTGTCTCTACTGTGGCTAACCTTGGAACCCCAAAAGCAGTTGGGAAACACCATGAGCCAATGAATTCTCCCTCCAGCCAACTAATGGAAGATTGTAAAATTATCATTCAGGTTGCGCCAATTCCCGCTAAGCTAAAGAAGTCACTAGAATAACTAATGTTCCCAACCTAAGCAGGAAAAGAAAATTTCATAGTGTCCCCCTACTGCAGTTTTCAGGACATATTTTGTAAGGAACTTTGAGCCAGGAGTATCTAGGAGTTAAAAAAAAGAGGTGTCTGGTTGTTGAAGCATCATTCTTTCTGCACATAAATTCCTACTGAAAATTATGAGGAAGCTTCATATCATAGTTTTGCATCCAGACATTTGGTCTAAGAACTGCAAGCATCATTTTAGATTTTAGATTACAATATGCACTCTTCATGTGTACAGAAATGTATTAATCCTCATTTTAGCTTAGTGACTAGGACACAAGGAGAGGCAAGTGTTGCATGCACGCCAGTGGTGGGATTCAAATATATGAACAACCGGTTCTCTGTGTGGATGTCGCTTCCAGAAGTCCATTCTGGGCCTGGGCAACAAAAAATTAGCTATCGGTTCTGCCGAACTGGTGCAAACTGGCTAAATCCCACCACTGATGCATGCTGTCTAGAAAAATTCAAGCCTGGTATGATTTTTGCAACAATTATGAAGCTAATTAGAAAATGGCTAGAAGAGTTAAGACTGCTTGATCAGATTACTTGTGAAATGTATTAGCAAGGATGGGGTAGACTGAAATGAAAAGTTCTCAAAAGTCTGTCCCCAAGTCTTGTCACTCTTCACAGTCACACACTGAAAAATGTCAGGTGTTCAATCTGAATTATGTTGCACTCATGCCACAAAGAAATTGGTCTTAGCAGCGCCAGATATTGTGGGAACACAGCAGGGAATTTCAATGCCAAATCAATAACTGAGTGTAGAATTGCTTGGAGTTAGTATATGTCTATATATGTATTGGTGGGATGAACCTAGTATCTTCCTTCTATCCATGCAGTGTAAAAGGTTAGATAATCTTCCAGAAAGTTATCATATTCTAGATATGGTGGACTATAATTCCATCTTTCTATAACCAGATAAAGAGATTGAAAATCAAACATTGGGCCAATTGTCAGATTTTCCCCTCCTGCTTCAGGGTTTCAGGCAATGCATTTAAAGAGAAAGTTGTCTAAAATAATAAGGCAAAGATAAAGGTTTCCTCTGTCCAGTCATGCCAACTCTAAGCAATGGGGCTCATCTCCATTTCTTAGCTGAGGGAGCCAGCATCGTCAGAAGACCCTTTCCATGGTCACGTGGCCAGCATGATCATATGCCGAGGCACATGGAACACTTTCCCAACAAAGTGGTTCCTATTTATATACTCACATTTGCATGCTTTCAAACTGTTAGGTGGGCAGGAGCTGGAGCAAGTAACGGGAGCTTACCCTGTTGCACAGTCTCCCCGCTGTCAGCTTTCCAGCTTACAAGCTCAGCATCTTTAACTGTTGAGTCCTTGCACCCCCTTTAAAATAATTATGCGTAGATATTCATTTAAATTATATAATCCTTATCTAAAAAGGAAAACTGAGTGCCAAAACTGATACAACACAATTTAAACAACTGCCATTGTAAAATATTTTTAAAAAACCAACAGCCTAAATTGCAGATATGGAGGTGAGTAAGGATTCTCATCATGGGTGGAGGACATACCTATTCCTCCAACCATGTACCTGTCTCATTGTGACAAACAACACTAAGCAACTGCAAGCAGGCAGACATTAACAAGCATTCATACAAAAACAATGAAGGACAATATGCATCAACATATTAAGACTAGCCAGCAGGAGAGGTAGATGTGGAAGTCTTGAGCCAGGCAGAATCTGCACACATGGAAATGTCACCAGAACTACCATTTTAAAGGGATGGAGCCATCCAGAAGAAAGATTATAGGTTCCCCATCTGCCTGCCCACATGGCATCTAGTTGGAACTCAGGTTCCATCACTTCCAAAGACTTCCTTTTTATTCATGATTTGTGCAAAGGACCTTCTCTCCCAATAAGTCAAGGAACCGGAGTCATTCTATTTATTTATTATTATTGTTTATTTATTAAATTTATTTGCTGCCCATCTTCCTATCAGACAAATATTTCTAAAACAATAAAAATGGAAATCACAGTCAAAATAAAATTATTTAATAAGTTAAAAGATGGGGAAAGAGGAGGGAACAGGATACATGGAGGAGGAGGGGGGACTGCCTCTTAATTCATCAACCATCTCCAGTATGATGCTGCCTCCTTTGTAAACAGTATAAAATCTCTGAATAGATCAAATGGCAAGGAATATAAAAAGATACCCGTAGAAGAAAAGTTTCATTTAGCCCAATGTTCTTAAACTGGGGATAATGACTACCAGAGAGGTAATCTATCCATATCCTAAGGGGAATGGCACAATTTGTAATTGCTTATTTGTGAGTCAAGGATCCAGTTTGGACTGTCACTGCCAAGACAGTTGTGTAAAACCACAACATCTGAGCTTTTTGTTTTTTAATGGGGTTGATTACTTGAGTCTGGGAAAAGGGATAGTGATTATGTGTCATCAAGTTATTGTCGACTCTTATCACTTATATACTGTACTTTCCGGCGTATAAGACGACTTTCGCAAGCGTTAAAATTGGCGCTGATGTTGGGGGTCGTCTTATACGCCGAGTCATTTTATATGCTGGAAATAATGGTAGTTTCCAGCGTATAAGACGACTTTCTAGGCATGCGACTCGAGGCCGAAGACGGGGGTCGTCTTATACGCCGGGTCGCCTTATACGGCGGAATATACGGTAAATAGATTTTCTCCATGATGGTCTGTCCTAACTGCACTTTCAGGTCTTTCAACTATGCATTTGTCATCACTATAACTGAGTCCATCCTCATTCATGCTGATTGTTTTTCTCTTTTCTTCCATCTGTCCCAGCATTAGAGCCTTCTCTAGAGAGCCAGATCTTTATATAATGAATCCAAAGCAGGATACGGTAATTTGAGCCTGGTCATTGTGTCTCAAGTGAACATTCTTATTTGATAATATTATCAAATGTTTATTCAATTGGTGATTGTTTTTTTGATTGTCCATAGCATTGTCAGGAATCTTCTCCAACTCCAAAGTTCAGAAATGTCAATACTTTTCCTATTCTGCTTCCCAAATGTCCGACTTTCACTTCCAGAGAATGCCATAGCTTGCATAATCCTGATCTTTGTAGGTTTAAATGCTAGTCTAAAGCATATTTCTTGAGGATAAGAGGTAACAATCTTAACAGTTTAAAAACACTGATATAATTAGATAAATTTCAATTTTGCTGCTTTATAAAGCAGCTCAAACAAAATAACAGTAAGACTGAAATGATATAACTTCATCCTATTTTATAACTTTTTATTTTTAAATATGTGTGCCTTCTGTTCCTTCAGTTTTCTTGGCAAAGTTTTCAGAAGTGACTTGCCCTTGCCTCCTTCTTAGGCCTGGGAGACAGTGACGGGCTCAAGCTGGCTTTGTGCCTAAGGCAGAACTAGAACTCACACACTCTCCCTGTTTCCAGTCTGATGCCATAACTACTACATCAAACTGCCTCTGTTTTACAGATTATCGATTAGAAGAATCTAGCACAACACTTTATTGCTGAAAATTCCATTTCTTCAGCCTTTTCGCACCTTTTTACCTGAAACAAAATGAAACAATTGGATTAAACAAAAACCTGCATGCTGTAATTGAAATAACAATACAAATCCATAGCAGTAGAGAGTGAAAAAAGATGTTCAATGGTTGGAAACTCAGTAGCTTAATTATTATAGATATGCCCACCTGGTAATAAAAAGGACATTTTCAAGGTTTCCTCTGGCTTTTATCAGGGTGGAAATAACTAATGAGACGTAGTGCAGATAGTGCATATTATTTTCCATAGCATTAGTTGCCAATGCTCTTGAGTTTGTACTTTCAGATTTCAAGATTGATGTTGGCCTTCCTGGTAAGCCAGACAGGAAACACAGTGAGATGGGCTAATTCTACTTCATTGTAATGCTACATTAGCAGAATCTTGCAAGTCTGAAAATGCAAATTTCCTGCTCACCGCTTTTAACCGCTAGACCAGTGGTTCTCAACCTGTGGGTCGGGACCCCATTTGGGGTCGAATGACCATTTCACGGGGGTCGCCAAACAAGGCTGTCCGCCATTTTTCCCCCTTTTCTTTGGCCACGCCCCTGGCACCCGGTGATCTATAAGTGGTTGGGGGTCACCACAACATGGGGAACTGTATTATGGGGTCGCGGCATTAGAAAGGTTGAGAACCACTACACTAGACCCATTCAGACAGATCCTTCCCAAGTTTCTTTCTTTGCCTGTTGAGCAATGGCAGGCTCCTGCCCCTCTTGTCTGATGGTTTCTTAGGTAGCATCCCTTATCCCCTTTCCTCAAGGTTATTCATGCATCCATTAAACCATCTAGTCACGATGGAAAAACTGATAAAAAGTGCATTATATCATTATGGAAGCTCTGTCCTTTACACATGTTTCACACAACTACTGTAAATAAGGGGCAGAGCTTGACATAAGTATCTGTAGTTATCCACGATAATATCAAAGTAATCTGCATTGTGATGCAGTGGAAACTCAACCTTTTGTATTTAGGTTGTAAGATTTCATGCAAATACACAAAAGGCAAAGTACAAATTACTTTATCAGCCCCCCTCCAAAGACACCCATGTATCTTTGGAGGGATAAGGGTTAAACTGAGGTTGAAAGTAGCAATCCTAATTGCTCTGCTATAATTCCATTGTTTTATAGAAGAAGATAGAATCCACCCAAATCTCATTTAGAACTTCCATCTAGTGTATATCCTTGCTGAAGTTTAAATTGTTGAGATTGTTTCCTATTAAAGGAGTTACTTGTTTAAATTGGTGGATGTGAAATACAGACAGCTTCCTTGCAAAGCTTTGGTCAAAAGATAGCAACCCTCTACATCAGGGGATCCCAATCTTTCTGGGTTGGTGGCCCAGGGTGGGTGATGGTGGTGGAGGAGGTGCCTTTACGCACACACACACACAGGGCCATGCATGCATGAATGGACTGCAATGGTATGCACAATGCAAACGGGGCCACAAGTGCCTGTGCGATGCTGGTGCCCAGGCAATGCCATGATGCTAATGCAAGTGGGAAGAGTGTGCATGCTGATGCTATGCCAGCGCAAGTGGGGGGGAGTGTATGCTTGCAGCAATGCTAGCGCCCGCACAACACTCGCAGCATCACTAGTGCTGGCATGACGCCATGATGCTAGCGCAAGTAGGGGGTTCAAATGCGTACATGAGGATGCACTGGCCAGCCACTCATGCAGCCCAATGGCCAACAGCCCACAGCTCGGTAGTGGGCCATGGCCCATTGGCTGGTGACCCCTGCTCTACATAACATAGCTGAAAACTCTGGAACAAATACCTCCCACACTCCCTGTTGCTTTAAGTATTAATTTTATCTTGCTGAATAATTTACACTGAAAAATAGATTCGGGGTGGAGAGAACATTCCTGTTAGTTTTGCTAGGTCCCTCTCAATGAAGTTGGATATGTTAGCTTTTTTTTTGCACCCACAGCAATTAATTTGAGTGAATATAAGTTATGATGTAAAAGCTTTTGCGATAGGATTGGTATTCTACTCCATAGACCTTGAATCCATCCTCTCTCTGGATATGTAAGTTGTATTTTTAAAACCTGAGGTTATCCTACTGAAATGGTATGAATTTTAAAATTGAAATTGATCTGGGAAAGCAAAATTATGATTTCCCCCTGTTGTCATACCTGTGTTTTTTAGCTGTTTTAAGGTGTTGCAGACTTCCTCATGCTCCAAAGCATCTTTTGGAGATTAAGCCATAAGCCCATGCTTTCCTGTGATTGTGCCCGGGCAATGCCGTGATGCTAGTGCAAGTGGGGGGAGTGTGTCTGTATATTACATCTTTAATTAAATTATCTCAAGGATAATTAGCATGATTAGCATTGGTGCTGTGGTGACTTAGTGGTTAGAATGCAGTATTGCAGGCTAATTCTGCTGATTGCCAGCAACTCAATTCTCACAGGCTCAAGGTTGACTCAGCTTCCATCCTTCTGAGGTTGGTAAAATGAGGGGGGCAAAATGTTGACTCTGTAAACCGCTTAGAGAGGGTTGTAAAGCATTATCAAGTGGTATATAAGTGCTATTGCTACTGTCTTTAATAGCTAATACCGTTGCTTCAATTCTCTTTTGCTCTTAAATGTTTTATTAAGTGCCTCTTGATTTTTAAATAGCTTGATGCTTTAAGATTCCACTGAAATGAAAAGGAAATAAATACGTGATTTTTTTTGTGTGTGTGTCTGTTTGTGCAGGGAATATTCTACTGTTTTTATGGGAAAAAACCATGTCCACTGAAGAAGGAAGACGTTTTGGCCGAAGTCTTATTGAAAAAGTCTTTTCTATCCTTTCTGTGAAATAGCTCGGCTTTACCCAACATAAATAATTAGTTTCATGATTTGCCCAATGCTGTATCACTTTGTGGATTCCCTTGATTATGTTTGGATGAGGCTTCACTTTAGTGAGACATTTGATGATGTTGAAGGGACACAGTTCCTGTTGAGTTCTCCTTGCCCTAAAACCCTTACTGGCCCAAAACCTCTTCTGATTCTGGAATTCTCAGTCAAGGTCTTTGAAGAAAGGCCAAAAGAAAGTACACTTATACAACTGTTTTATTCTTAGTAGTTGTGGGGTGACAGTAGGGTCCCCTTGCTTTTGATGCAATTGTAGAGCTTTCACTCAAGCGTTCATTCAAGTAGCTTTCTTTGCAGTGAAGGGCCGCTTCGCAAACATTCATGTCTCTTCTAATTTACTGCCTTCTGTTTGATTCAATGTTGCTTGGGAACTTTAGCTTTGTCATGAATACATTTTAAAAAAGTAAACAGAAAATCAATCTAACTGCATTATGGTATTTTATGCATTTGTTACTAGTTTGCATACAAGGTTAATATTTTATTTATTTATTTATGAGACTTATATACCGCTTTAAGTGCAAGCACTCTCTAAGCGGTGTACACCAGTAATAATATAATGGAAAACATAATATTTAAGCAATGTATATCAAAATATTTCAGGTACTATATCAATGATGGCGAACCTTTTAGAGACTGAGTGCCCAAACTGCAACCCAAAACCCACTTATGCATCGTCAAGTGCCAGGTGGGTGTGGCCCATTGGCTGGGTGTGGCCCATTGGGTGGGCGTGGCTGTGGTGGTAACGGCAGACTGGGTGGGACTAAAAAATTCAATCAATTCCAACTTTGCGAGATCTTTTTTTTCCCCCGCGAGAAGTTGAAATTGACTGATTGAACCTTTTTTTTTTTTGCACACGGTGGCAGAGGCCTAAAGTGAAAAGGTTTTATAAAACCCAGCTTAAGGCCTAGGACTGGGGTGAGGGTGCGCATGCCCACAGAGATGGCTCTGAGTACCGCCTCTGACCCCCGTGCCATAGATTCGCCACCATTGTACTATATCGATCTTATACAAGATCTACCTAGTAAAATATTTCAGATTCTTCAAACCCCACAGGCATGCTGGCAAATCCATACCTTACCGTCATCATACTCAGAAGGGCTGAGGCCGAAATCAGTCAGAGAAGTGGTGGTGGGGGGGAGTGACCATATTTCATTGTCCCTGCAGGTGATATTCCTTCAAGTAAAGGATATGGAGAAAACCTTCCCTGAGAGTAGATGATCCTCAAATTACCTCTGTCCCAACAAGCACCAGCTTGAATTCTACCAGCTGCCAAAGCAGTAGCAATACATAAATTGAATGGCACCCATTACTATCCAAGCCATTGCATTCTGGACCATCCAAAGTTTTATATAGTCCATTATAATAGTACTTGGGAGATGATCTAAGTTTGAGTGATGGTCAGTAGGGTCACTTGCTTCAACAAAGGTAATAAATTATGCACAAAATGAAGATGATGTTTGAAGATGTTCCTAGTTACAGTTGCCACCTGCTCTTTGAGAATCATCTGTTATTCCAGAATCCAAACTAAGAATGATTTTCGTCCAGTGAAGAAAATCGCCATCCAGAACTGAAGGTGAAATTTTCCAGGAATCAGGAGGCTTCTGCACCCAAAAACACTTCTTGCCATTCTGAGCCTAAGGCTGTTTGTTCTGATCCATATATTGACAACTTCCAGACAAGGGCTAGATGCATAGCCTATTTGGCTTGCCATTGAGATATAAATATGATGGCTGTGTGGGCATTGGGAGATATGGTGGGAGGCAGAGTGTGGACCATTTTCAGAGAACACATGGTTATTCTTATACTGGTTAGGCATTTCAGCTCCCTGGTCTCAGCCCCTGTACTCAGTCAGCAGGGAAACTGAAGTCCCCCAACTTCACTGTCAAACCAGAAATGAAGCCAAGCAGCTCAGGCAAAGAGGTTGCCACAAAGCAGGGAGGCTGGTAAAAGAGCAACAATACTAAGGGACCAGTGGTGGGATTCAAATATGTGAACAGCTGTGTGGATGCCACTTCTGAAAGTCCATTCTGGGCCTGGGCAACAAAAAATTAGCTATCCGTTCTGCCGAACGGGTGCAAACTGGCTGAATCCCACCACTGCAAGGGACCCTTTGAGCAAAACTTAATGAACAGCTGCTCACATCTGGTGATGTCTGGAACAGCACTCCTGACAGTCATAAGGGGTTCCTGGATGACAATCACCACACTTTCGCCCCCACCCTGGAGTCTCAGCTAATGCCATATATGGAACCCAGATAGCTGGGCGTATTTCTGAAAGAGGAACCCCTCCTTTCGGACCTAGCCAGGTTTTATTAATACATGCCAGGGCAGGCTTGTCATCGATGATTAGAGCGCAGATGAGGGAGGCCTCATTACAGACCAATGTTGCATTTTAAAGCATCAGTCAGGAACTGGGTCTCTGAAGGTCTGTTGAGGCCAAGTACCGTCAGGAAGCTGGAGCACTTAACCAGTATAAGACAATGGCTTTGTCTAAGAATGGTCCACTCCCTGTCTGAGTGAGCTACATTGGTTGAGAGTCTACTTCTGGGTCCAGTTCATGGTACGGAGTCGTAGAATTCTTTTATGGTTGTCACCCGAAGAAGCCTTTTTAGAAAAAAAAATTGATAGTATACCAACTTGGCTGATCTATGCTGATTTGTTGATTTTTTTTTTCTGAAGGAGAGTCTAAATTAAAAACCTGAGAACTGAAAAGGGACGGTCATATTTTTGTCAATGGTTTGCTTATGTTCGCTTGACAGATTTAAACTGGCTGAGAAGAATTTTGCGAAAAATGAGAAAACTGGTCTTGAAGCATGTCGATGAGCACACTATTGCTAAGATGTATACAAACTTTTATTGGATCTGTTGGATACAGTATAATGCTTGATCAATGGGAGAATTTGCAGAGTGAAGGACTGAAATTTTACATTAAATTAAAATGTGAAAGAGAAGTTTTACCAGACAATGTACCGTTTGTACTTAAATACCTGATAAGTTGTCAAAGATACATATGGGTATGTGAAATGTATGCTGGAAACATGATCAGTATAAAAGTAATTTTTATTATGTTTGGTTAAATATGAAAGAAAGCTAAAAAAAATATTGGGATCACATATATATTTTAGTTCAGATAATTCTCAGACTAAGAAGTGAACAACTAAAACCAGAGGTTTTTCTTCTTGATTTGATTGATAAAAGTGAAACTTTGTTCTTATTACGGTTAACAGCAGTGAGACCTCTATATGCACAGGGAGGGAAGGAACACAACAGAAGTGATGTCTTCAGCCATTTTTTTTTGGGAGGAAACACCTTGTTTTTATTAACTGAATGAACTGGCAGCCTTCTTATTTTAATGGGACAAACAGAAAAAGAGCTATAAAAACTGTAATAGAGCACCACCTTCTGGAATGGGTCAGCAGGCTTTCTTGATCTAGTATGTTTGGAAGTAACACCGTTTCCATATACACAAATTTAATCCTGATTAAATTACCATGTTCCATAGAATCCTGGTTTATCTTCACTATGGTTCCAAAACTAAGAAATGTGGTGCCTGGTTTGTTAGTGATTTCAAACACTTTTTAGTGATATAATGCCCATTTAAAACAAGTCTATTGACTAGAAGCTTTTCTCTGGTACATGTAGATGAGAGGAACACCCTTTTCATGAGCCCATGTTTCTTATTATTGTGCAGGAAAGCAAAATCATGCTAAACCATGACTTAAGCATTGTTTATTTTAGGGGTGTCAAACTCAATTTCATTGAGGCCTGCATCAATATTGCGGTTGCCCTTGGGGGGCCGGGTGGGTACGGCCTACTGGGTGGGCATGGATGGAGTGGGTGTGGCCTACTGGGTGAGCATGGCCAGCTCTACATTGTTCGCGTCAAGGGTGCCTGTGGGGGCCTGGGCAGGAGTGGGGCAGATCTAAGGGTCTCTAGCAGAAGAGGGTGGGACCGGGGCAAGCGCCAAGGCATGGTCCATTTCTTCATTCCTCACAAAGGGTGACACCTCCCCAGCATGCACCCAGGGGGCGGGGCCAACGCGGCAGGGGCTGGTTTCTCACTATTTTTGGACGGCCTTGTGGAGCTAAGACTGAATGCATTTCAGCATAGATGGCCACCACAAAATTGTACATTGGCTCCCGGCCAGCCTGGGTCAGGGCTGGGTCAGGGCCAAGGCAGCGGAGGCCGTTCTCTCACTGTTTCCAGGATGGCTTCGCAGGCCACATGAAACCACTTCACAGGCCGCATCTGGCCCCCGGGCCTTGTGTTTGACATGTCTGGTTTATTGAATAAATCATAAACGGTGGGGGGTCATGTTTTGTGCCAAACTATAAATCATGGTTACTATTGCAGTGGATGAGTACACATAACAGACTAAGCAAAATGTATCCAGAGAAGCCTTTTCTTTTCTTTACTGAAAAGTACCTCCCTCCTCATGCTTTCATCAACTGGCAGAAAATTAACAGGCAAAGTCTGCTTTGTGTTATGCTCTTGAACTTGTGTATTTGATCATCTTTTTCTGCATCAAATCACTTTAACATCTAGGAGCCTGCTTGGAAGTGCTATTTCTATGTAGCCAGTTCAAGGAAGGCTCTCTTTGCTAGCTTTCTGTTTGATACACCTTCAACCATTGTCCATCTATTCAGCCTTTCTGTACAGTTGAATTATAGGTTGCCCGAAACTTTGAAGTTTGGCTACTGATATGTATTATTCAAGTATAGAGTAACTGACTATAAACAATTGACAGAATTAGGACATAGTCTAAAAAAAAAAAGTCTCCTGAATTTTATATCGCCATGAAGGATCCTACTTGGCATTGCTGAAAACCTCTGGGAAACTCTGAAGTGGCACTAGATAATACAGACCGAGATGAACTAATGGTGCAAGACTAGTAGACTATTTCTATCCTCTTATAAACTTCTTCAAGGTGAGTTTGCTGCTTGGTAATTTCACTGAGATACCCATGAAGTTTTCTTGACAATAACATGGGTGTGGTTTACTACTGCTATCTTCTCAGTTGATATCAGTGTCTTAGAATTCCTATAAATTCCCAGCTACTTGACCAGACTAGCAGTGCTGAGCCTCCAAATCCTAAAACTCACCCAGACTCTGTCATTTGGTGATATGATAAGCTTATAACTACACTATAATTATTTTAACAGAATACACTATATGTATTTTTATTGCATGATCTGCATTATCCTAAGGGACCACCAATTAACAAGGAAAAAAACAAACAAACCACCTCTCAAAAGCTCATTCATATCTATTTGCTGTACTTATTTGACCCTTCAGAGACTTGAGTTCCTCCATAAGATATACTTGATTTGATGACTCATGCATTATAACTTGAAAGTGCATCAAAACATTCAACTCTGAAGCAGTATTTTGTCCTTTAATGTCCCAGGACAAAGCTTCCAATTATTTAGCATCACTTTATGGATAGGCTTATAATGTACTGTCATTATCTAGTAATTTTCAAAGGAAATAAGTTAATGAGGTCTAAGAAAAAGTGGGAGTTTATACCTTAATTACCTGGTTCATAGATCAGAGTAATTATATTCCAACAGATTTCATATATAATCTACAAGTAATTACTGCAGCTGCCAGCTGTTAAAATATTAAACTAAATGTACTCAAAAAAGTTTTGAAAAAAAGTTTTTGACCCTTTGTGTGTTTGGTTTAGTTTATATTTTATAATTTCCATGGAAAAAACCTAAAGGAAGATAAAATACCAAAACAAATCAACAAAGGGCACAGGTGGTTTTTTCCTATCAAGTAAGTAAACAGAACTGAGAATAAACCTTCAGGATTTACGTATTAAAAAGCAAAGCTAGCATGCTGTTTATTCAGTGATTCTCATTATAAAGTTTTTTCCATACTCAACATTTCTCCTTCACTTCAGGGAAGGTAAGGATTGCTGGGGAAAAAATGCTTCATTTCACATATTGAAATTCTGTACTAATTTTCTAAAATCTCCCCTGTCTCTATTTATACTGGACAGCAGACCTGTAATCAGTTATCAGAGCCAAACTAAGGAATCATTTTAATTACATATCATTATGTAGATTTGACTTTTTTCTGATTTTTGCAATTTATTTTTTTCTATTATTGTAATATAGTTTTAGTGAATACTGTATTCAGTATTATTCCTTATCAAATACAGTAAAAACCAAGGATAAGTCTCACTTCAAATCCTTCACTCTCACCCTACGTCAGAGTTACAGATATTTGCCACGATTACATCACACGGTTTCTCAACTTCAGGATTCTTGGTGCAGGTAAAAACTCCTATATCATTAGGATGTTGATTTATTTTTGGGTTTTCCCCCGGCTGGTAAGCCAGTTTTTGAACTTATGTGTACTCTCAGAAGCAAAATTTGATTCAAGACTGGAGATCACCATTCTCAGACAACAGTAATTGGTGGATACCTAATGTACTTCTGTGGATCTGATGAATTTGACAATGTTTGATCAAAATGCAGTTCAGTAATCAAATGCCACACAAAGACACACATTGTGCAGTTGATAGTTCTGTAAGTCTAAAAAAATATTTTCTACAATATAATTTTGCAGTAGCAGCCAAATATTCTAGAGTGAAATAGGTTGAATTAATTCACAGCTGAATCCGGGCTTTAGACCAGTCATGTCAAACTGCCAGCCTGCGGGCCAGATGCATCACTCCAAAACTGCGCTCACCCCATTGCCAGCAATGAGGTAAAAGTCCTGATACGTTGTGTGATGTCACGTGACATCGCAAGTTTGACATGCCTGCTTTAGACAGTGAATTACTTCTCCCACATATTTTATCTTTGTCACGAAAGAAATAAAACTTGACCACTTATTGATATACTATATAAATAAGCAACTCGGCAAATATTTTCTAAAAAGCCATGGAAATTTATCAGGCATGCTGATGCCCAGGAGGTTTATGTCAGCAGCAGTTTAACATCCCTGAATGTCAAATCAAAAAGAGGAGACTTTTGTCCAGGAAATAATTGTGGATTCAGCAGAACATTTTCAGATTTCCTAAATCTTGAGTCTCATTTGATGTAAGATTGTCAAGTGTGTCAGAGGAGGTGGGGACCAAAAAAGTAAAGATGGTGGCTACCATCTTGATTTCTTTTACCCTCCCCATAGGCATCACTGTTGGTAGGGCCATTTCAACCTGGAATCCTGTGTTACTGAACTGAGATAGTTCAGCCAATGTATCAAATGAAACACTAGTCCATTCAAAGGGACCAAAACAATATATACTGTAATTTAAGACTGGCTGAGAAAAGTTTTAAAGTGCTTAACTTAGGTCGAGGGGAAGAGAGGCAGGTGAACTGGCTGGATGGGAAGAACAGAAGCCAAAGAATATAGGCCATACAGTTACATGTAGTGATCTAACCAGCATTTTCTGTATTGTTGCTGCTATGCAAAGATTTTTTATTGTAATGAAGAACTGACATACACAAATGCCAAGACAAGCAGGCCTTCCTATCCCACCCTTTTATACAGTAGATGCTTTGTATGGATGGGGCAAACTCATATGTCACAAAAGCATAAGTGAACTTGCCTGTATTTAATTAAGAATCAAAGACCAGAACTGTAAGCCATCCATGTAAGGCTATATTGTATCTAAACCTTCATACATCACTCCTGTCTCTTTGACTTCCCCTTTTAGCACTTTCATTAAAACCAACCTCCTACTGCAATGGTCACCAACCTTTT